ATTTTTTTTTTTTTTAACTAAAAAAAATAATAAATTTAAAAGTAAACGTTAAAAATTCTGTAAAGAGAATAAGGTAAAGAGAAAAATTAAATTTCTTACCGTTATCGTACAAAAAAGTCTTTATTTTAAAATCGATGAATACAGTGGCGAAAAATAAAATGACTTTTTTTCCTGTAATTTTTTCGATGTATTCTGCTTCTCTCGTACTACTTGCTGTAAAAACGTTTGCAGAACTGAAAACAGAAATATTGATGGAGAAACTCGGGCACTTTCGAAAAACGAATAAAATAATTTCATAGAGCGACTGTTAAAAAAATTCGTTACCCTCGAGCGATGGAAATGCTATATCCCGGCCTTGGGTCCTACACTTCGCCGGTATTATTTCTATGCGCGCATAAAAACGCATAAACGCGCTGAATAATTTAACGTTCGCCGTGTGTGTGCATGCTTTATCTCTCGGCTGTTACGTGCGCGATCGCGTGGCAGGAGGAAGCGCGAGAAAGAGGGAGGAAAACAGAGAAAAGGAGAAAGATAAGGAGGCCGTGCCGGCGTGATAAAACACAGGAAAGACCTTGCCTCGTATTTTTTTTGTTTTTTTTCTTTTTCGTAATCGTGTGAACCGATTGCGCGCTCACGCGTCGTGTTGTCCTTAACCCGGGAATATTTCTCGTAGGCCATCAACGAGTCTCTAAATGTGAGCCCCCTGATGCCAGTGATGTGCCCCGGCGCCGGCACACTGATAGCGCGATACGACGAACACGCCCTGGTCTCCAGGTTCAAGTTTGGAGTTCTTCATCAGCGAGCCGGCCAAGTCACCGAGGAGCAGCTCTTCGGCAACCGGCAAATCACTCCGGCCTTCCAGGAGTTCCTCGATCTGCTGGGTCAGAAATTGATCTCAAGGACCATAAAGGGTAAAATTTTTCAAAGAGATTTTTCTTTCTTTTTCCTCTCTTTAAGAATTCTTTCTCAAGAATTTCTTAAAGAATTGATTAATTTTTTAATTCTTTCTTTCAGATTCTTTCTTAAGAATTTCTTTATAACAGTTTACTCGACGTACCTACAATATATATTCGTTAATTAATTTTTCTTTATGTAAATTTCAATTTGTAAAAAACACGATTTTATAAATTATGAAATCGAAAAATTCTGAGAAATTGATGAGAAAAAAATCTTTAATATACCATTGATTGAAAAGTAAATTATTAATTATTTATATAAATTTAATGAATATTTGGTCGCGCGAGAAAATAAATTTTATTGTACTTGTTGCTTATTATTATTATTATTATTTTTTTTAATAGCTATTTTCCAATTCGCTATTTCAGGTATCGCGGTGGGTTGGATACTCGACACGGTCAGACCGGCGATTCAGCGGTGTACGAGGTGTTTCGGGGTCGGGAGGTGTTGTTCCACGTGGCCTCTTTGCTGCCATATAGTCCGGGCGATTCGCAGCAGCTGCAGCGTAAACGGCACATCGGCAATGACATCGTTGCCATCATATTTCAAGAAGAACCGACGCCCTTCAGCCCGGACATGATAGCCAGCCACTTCTTGCACGCTTTCATCGTCGTGCAAGTCATCGACCCCTGCACTCCTAATACGAGGTATATTCTTAGATTCTTAGCTGCTTTCTGTTTATTACGCTGTTTGCTTTGCGAAGCTTGGAACTCGGCGAACGATCCGATTACCGAAAGGTTTATCCGAATCCTCCTCGATCGCGCAAACAGTTGTTGTCTGTTTCGAGCAATGATTTTCGGTTAAACACGAAGCGAGAAGCGATAACGAATAACGACGGCGTTAAATTTTAAGGTACAAAGTCAGCGTAACGGCGCGCGACGACGTTCCCTGGTTCGGACCGACTCTGCCGACACCGGCGGTCTTCCTCAGAGGTGTCGAATTCAAGGAGTTTCTGCTCACGAAGCTCGTGAACGCCGAGAACGCCGCTTACAAAGCCGAGAAATTCTCCAAGTTAGAGGTGAGTCTCTGGTGCCTCTGACGCTTTCTTCCGCTCCCGTCGTTTCTGCGAAAGCGAGAGGATATTCTCGTCCAATTGGCATCCAGTAACTCGCCATAATGATAATTTCTGAGAAAGATTACACGAGGGACGCGGCAACAACTAAGTTAACTGCGCAATTTTCAGCTGCGGACTAGATCGGCTTTGTTAGAGTCCCTAACGGAAGAGCTGCAGACCAAAACGGCGGAGTTTCTCGGTGGTCCGCTCGGCTTGGGAAATTCCGGCTTAAGCGTTTGTCCTGTAAGTCCGACTACAAGCGACGTGTCCGCTTCGGGAAGTAGCGGCAGTGGCTCGCGATTTATTGACACCGTGCGCAAAGCTCTGATCTCCCGCGTGAGAAATGCCTCGACGGAGAGCGTGCCGCAGCAGCTAGCCAAGAAGGGCCAGCAGACGGAATCCAGTCCTCCGAGCAATCGACAGTCGACCGTCACAAAGGTAATGAGTGAAGTTAGTAAGTGAGAAAGTCAGGATATTCAGAGTTGTAAAATAAAGTTCTTTTCTTTAAGTGATTGTTGCACAGTTTAAAAATAAGTAATTCAAATTAATAAAATTATATTATACAATAGATATATAGGAAATTAATACTAAATTAATTATTATAAATTAAAATATAAATAGAATTATATAAATGGAATTATTATAATAATTATAATAATTAAAATAATTATTACATTATTATTAATCATAATTATATATTATAATATAATTATAATTATAATTATTTTAATTATTATAATTTATATAATTAATTATAATTAAAGTTATAATTATAATTGAAATGTAAAATTAAATAAAACAACTATTGATAATTATAATTGTGTGTCAAGGTAAACGGTAGTAAGCGCTCGGTAGAGCCATCCAGTCCTCTTGGCTCGCCAGATCTGACACTTAGGAGAGATTCAGAGCGCGGTAGTCTTGGTAGCCAGGATAGTAGCCTGTCTAACACCGACAATCAAGACAGCAGTTTAGCGACATTGCAGCAGGACGAATACGATCGCAGAGAATCGCAAGGCGCGAGCGTTGTCTGTCTCGATAGCGATACCACTGTCGTGGCAGACAAAATCCCAGCGCCAACATCAGCAGCGGTCCAGCGACTAACGCACGAAAATTTGCGCACGCAGGAGAAAACGACGACGGAAGTGACGCAACGAGTAATTTCAGAGAGTGACGATAGTTCGTTGAACAGCGAACTTGAGCTCGATCAAGCTGTGTATCCTGATAGCGACACTGGTCTCGAATCCATGAGTTCTGCGGAGACCCATGATACCACAAGGTGTACGAATAAAGATGGAATCGTGGAAAATGAAAACTTGAGGATGGAGGTCACTAGGCTCAAATGTGACAAGTTGGATCTATTGCGACAGAATGTGGTAAGTAGAAAGTAAATCGAATTGAGTTCTTTTATTCTCAAATTCTAAAGACTCATAATCAGAAAAAATGATGCTGAATTTGAATCTGTGTCGTAGACATGCCAACGTGAACTGAAACGTCGTCGAGAAAAGGAATTGCAATTAGAGTCCGATTTGGCAGCGGCATCCAAAGAGATTCTACGGCTACGTGCGATGTTGAAGGAGTGTTCCACGAGCATTCCATTGGATAACAATAATCAGCAGACATCCACCGTGTGAAGTTTGCGAGCATAGTGCGTACTCTAAAATGCGATTACGAGTTGCTCTTGTGAAATGTTAGTACGGCCTTTACGGTCTAATATAATTGCGTGTTCTATAGATTTGGAAAATCATCTTTGACGCGCGAAATCACTTTTCTCGTCTTTGTTAGAGATCCACACGACGCGATTCACCCGCTGTTTTTTCCTTTTACATCACTTTCGCGCATAGTTCGATATTGAGATTTACTGACTATAACATGATGTATGAGGAGTGCGATAGAGATGTAAACTAAAACGTCTTTTAGACGCTAGAGTACTCAATACTTGAACACTATGTACCTTCCATTCATCAGGAATCATTCATTACTTCCAAAGGTTCATTATCATTAGTGCTCCATAAGAGCATATAGAGTTTGCAATTTAGATGCTTTATCACAAAGATTAATCGTTCAAACTGAGTTTTTTCTCTAGATAGAGATTAGTACAAGTTCTATATAAGTCATGTACGAGAAAATAGGATTAACACAAATCCTGCGAAGTTGTATAATGGTCAGAGTGTCTTTGAGACATTTGCAGTATAAACTCAAGCATTGTTAGAGTTCTTGTTTGACTTATAAGACATGTGTAATATTTATCTATTAATTTATTAGTAGACTTAAGTTGACCACTCGTAGTCAATATATATATATACGTGGATATAAAAAGAAGCAGTAGAGAACCTATAATATTATTCGTTTTAAGATGTGAGAAACAGACTTAGCATTCTCGAAGAGATATAAATTGCCACGAGACGCCGTAACAAAAACGTATCAGTGTATCGATTGCGTGTTAGGAAGCTGAATAATATAGCACGTAATTCTCGTTTATTCTTCCGTAGCGCGGATTATCTTACCATCCATGATTAGGCAAAACTTCCAGAATTTAGACAATGCGGTTTTTCATAGCCGGAAAACCTTTTGTCATGCGATTGTAAAAGGAAACATATATCTCTAGCTGCAGTATTTGTCACGATAGACTTATCCGATGCACTTTACTAATTTCCTAGTATTAGATACCAGAGAATAGTTTTTAGTGTACCTCTATGAGATTCCACGATCCTTGAAACTCTATCCCTACGTGCTAGTTTTAGCGAAACACTGGTTTTCAATTATTTTTAACTGATTGCGCATAACACCAAATCACTTATGTTTATGTATCACATTTCTTTACAAAGTATCACTATTCCTTTTCGCACGCGCAAACAGGAAAAATGCGTTATCGTTCACTGTTCATCACTTAAGATAATTATTTTATATTCACTTTTGGTTGGACGAACATCAATTCTTCTATTATTTCTTATGGCTAGTATTAATATAATTCTTACCATTATTATTATTATTATTATTATTATTAGTCTTAATACTATAATTAATACTTTTATTAACATTGATTACGTTATACTTTGTATGATCTTTGTAAATAATCGTTGATCTAGGATAGGCATTCGAAGGCGCTATGCAACTGGCACAAAGAGGAGGAACAATGACGTTCACTCACACATAATACCAAAGTTTAATGTAGTAAAATTCACAACTTTCTTTTTATTTTCCTCGTTCCTCTTATTTTCCCATTTTGTCTAATTATTTTTTACAGATTGAAAGGAAATTATAAGTTTTGTTTCAGATACTTTTGTCGTAAAAAGAAAATAGAAGTGTCATTTTTATGGATATTTTGATGGAACACCACATTTATCACTGCCTATCACGATGTCGCCTCGACATTTCTCTTTGAAGAATATGTAAAATCTGTTTTACTGCTTATATGACGTGATTGATTGTAACAATTCCCATAACAATATTGAAAGACACGACGACTGATATACTGCCGCTGTAGTATCAATAATTTTAAATGTTAGTTTCTCTTGCGTAAAAATAAAACATTTCTACCCAAGTCAGAAAGGTCATAAAATGAGAAAATCTTTAATATTTTAAATTTTATAACACTACAAAAGAAATGGCTCTAATTAAAGATACTAAAGTTGCAGTATTTCGGATAAATTTGTCATGAAACCAGCATATACGCGGCGTTAGGGACAAGAGACGAGATAAGAATTATATTTTCCGAATTTATTGATATTTTTAAGCTTTTGTGTTATCTATAAATTAATAGAAAAACGATAACTGTGTCGGTAACACCATTTAAGCAAGCTTTTATATATGTCGTACAAAGAATTTAAAGACTTGTGGACGTTTTCCAGTAATGAGATATATTATTCCAGAAGGAAAACAGATATACGAATTGTTCGAAATGCATTAGATTGAAAAATTGATGTACAAAATTAAAATCTCGTTGATCTAAAATGATGACGATTTGTTTTTTTTTTATCAATTGTCGCTTACTATACCTCTATGTTTACGATAAAGTCGAAATATTAATATCTATGATTCAATTGGATTTGAAGCTAATTCGAGATAAGTGGCTGATAAAGAGTACTGGACAGGTAGAGTTTGTTCTGTCGAATTGGCATGTATGTTATCTGCCTATTATCAGAGGAATGACTATTGTTAGCGACTTCGTCATTGTGGAAATGTGATTCGAGTATTTTCGGAAACGTCTTGTATACTATTTACTGTTAGATATTTAGAGGATTTATATTACAACAATTTCATACTCAATGAGGAACTTAAATGAGTCTCCTTACTTTTACCAATGTACATAATGTCAAGAGTTGCGTTTGATTATGTCGTCCAAGGACGTCGTCCGAGGACTAAATTTTGCCACTATCTAGTGTGATTTCTATGCTGGCCTTGCGAAAAAGTCAAAGAAAGATTATATTGTATAGAGAATGTTCATTATTATATTACTAGAGTCAAAACGTGGTGAGAAGGGAAAGAGTAAGATAAGATAAAGAGATGGAGGATAGAAAAAATACTACAGATATATAAATATATTTTGTATCTAACATTAATTACTCATTTCTAATACTCAAATACTTCATTACTCCGAAAGAAATACGAAAAATTATATATATATATATTTCCTACGACGATGTGAGGCGCATAAGTACTCAGTTTCTTCGAAATTTCACTCTTGTATCGAAAGGTAATTCCGAGTATTTGTAAAAAGTGTTTACTGAACTGTCTTAGAGAGAAACGTATCATTGATAGGCATAATGTGTCTACGCTTTCGAGTACGTAAATCACGGTCTAAAAGGAATTTTATCTGTATGTTTGTCATGTTATGATCTGCCTGAAGATAAACGTATACATGGACATAAAAATTCTTAACGAAAACTCTCCAAAAAATGGTTGTTGTACTAGAAATCGCCTAATCTGTCGCCTATCGAGAATCTTTCTGGCTCCACAAGCGGCTCGGACTACACGTAAAAACTGAAAGTATATTTGTATCATCGAATCGCTACTGAATAATTGGTGCAAAACACGAAAATGATGTCGCTTAGGAAACAATTTTTGATCAAAGTTTGATTAATTTAATCGGCGATTAACTGAAACGATTGAAATGTAAAATTTAATTCTACCCGTACAGCACCAATTTTGCAACTACATTACAACGTTACAATATTGCAGCAATGTTGCTGCAATATAATTGCAAAATCTGTATAGACAATTATTTAATTCCTGATCAAAAAATTAAATATAAATTCTATTTGCATAGGCAAAATAATACTTACTTGATCTAATCACTGATTAAGTTAATCAGAATTTGATCAAACCAATCAATTTAAATTAAAGGAGCGAGAAGCTTCGATAGTTTAAAAAAAATGAAATCGCACAAAGATACGTCAATGTTAAAAGTCTCATAATCGCACCAATTGTTCTCTGTGCGAATGATTCGACAATGGATAATTCTTTAAAGCATAATTAAGATATAATTAACGCTGAGAGAACCGTGCACCAAATAGATGTTACTATAAATGAAAATTAAGAATATTCGATGCCACTACGGAAATATTTCGAGCCGATCGTGATCAAGTTCTTTAGGCAATTACTCACGAGGAAATTGTAAACACATAATGTGCACGATATTCGGTAAACTACGATGTCAATGTCTAAGCAGCTTCGAAAATGCGAAGAGCTCTGATTATCGAACTAGTCTGTGTATATAAACATATGTATTATATACAAAAAAAGGGCAAGAAAATAAAGAAAAATGTGTAAAGCAAAAAGATAATTCAATTTTCGATTTTCAAGTTCAAATATTATTAAGTGTTAAACATCGATCTTAGATTTTTGGATTGTACATTTTATTGTATATAAAATTTTTGAACACATACTTGATTGATTTTATTTTTATATGAATTTTAATTTCATTTTAATTTTAAAATTCGAATAACAATAGAACGTGGGAATTTTTTGAAAAATTTGAGTACAATTTGTTGAAAAATTTGAATATCTTTTTTTTTAAATAGCAGAACTTTTTTATTCTATATCCGGCAGATAGTTGCCTGATAATATCTTCTCTGGTTTTTTTTTTAATTTATATTTGAATATGTTTAAATTCAAGAGAGATAGATACTTCTATTATCAATCAACTAGATGATATATTTTCTTACATCTACTGTTCCAATATAAAAAGTAAATTTTTTAAAGAGATCGTTTTGTCCCTTTTAGCATAAAAGCATTCATAAAAAAAAAACATTCTTTTTTTCTTGATTTATATCATATATAATCTAAATCTATATAAAATCGATATAAAATCTATAAATTACATTACCATGTATATCCTTTCAAGAATCATAAGAAACAATCGAGAAGCTTCTTTCCTTCCATCTTTAACTATATAACAGGTATAGTTCGGGTGTATAAGAAATTATTATAGTCGAAACTTTGACTATATCATTCTTTGGATATCTTCAGGAAATTGAAAGCATGTCAAAAGCATCTAGAAGCTTAGGTTTCGTAATTTAAATGTACTGCAACGTATCGTTGTTTTTAAAGTCAATTTCACAGTCGGTCGTCTGTCATTGCGGGCGCATGCGCCGAACTGATCCAATGGTAATCGTAAATACGTCTGGGTCTCTCAGCTGATTCGCACGTGCCGACATGTATGTACACGCATCATACATATATACAAACTTATGTGGATGACTGTGGACCAGACTTGTGGACTCTTGGAGTGGTTCCATTTCACTTTAGGCTAGGACAAAGTGCCACGATTTATGTCAGATTAAAGCGCAGTAAGAATTCTTGGGGACAAAGGAAAATCGTTTAGTTTTTCATGGAATGGTAAGAAATACTAATAGTTTTCTTTTATTATATATTTTCCGTATCTTAAAAATGTGATGATATATTTTTATATTTACAATCAGAAAATTGTGAAAAATTTAAATTATTTTAAATTTAAAGGTAATACAAAAATACAAAAAAGTTTCGCGACGGTTTGTTAAAAATTATTTAAATAAATAAGTAGACGTGTTCCATATAGCACAAATTTATTAAAGCAATTATATGCAGTTATATATTAAAGCAACGTTGTTGCAACATTGTAACGTTGCAGCAATGTTGCTGTAATATAGTTGTAACATTTGTATTGTATGAAATATTTTAAGAAATGTAATTAAGAAATAATGATAAAAGTCTTAATTTTTTATATAAGTAAGTTTTACGTAAGTTTAAAAATAATACAAAAAATTGTATGACTATTTAGAACTTGAATAAAAAATTATTTAAATATAAAGATAGACATGTGCTTTAATAGAAATGTAATTAAGAATCTCAATTTTGTCATAAATCTTAATTTTTTTATATAAATAAATATTCAAGATTATTTATGTCAATTTTCATTGCAACATAAATATTGGTTGTTTTATAAATAAAAATTTAATTTTATTTGTACCACTATTCATTTCATTCGTACTCTTAATAAAAATTTAATTTCTATTTATGGAATAACTCTGCGTCATAGTGAAATTTTATATAAATAATTTTTAATACTTAGAGTACTTATATAAAAAAGATTGAGATTTTGGTCAAAATTGAAATTTTTTATTACCGATTCTACCAACATAGATTTATTTTAATCTCGGTTTAACTTGCTCTTTATCTTTCTCTAATTCTTAGGAACTAAAAAAAGATAAAGAGTAAGTTGAACCGAGATTAAAGTTAATCTACGTTAGTAGAATCGGGCATTAATACATGTAACATTTCTATTAAAGCACTGTCTATTTTATATTTAAATAATTTTTAATTCACGTTTCTAAATCGCCATAAAATTTTATGTATTATTTTTAAATGTGCGATCTAAAATAATCTATAATTTTTCATAATTTTTTTATTTCGTAAATAAAGATATATATATATATATATATATATATATATATATAATAATATACT